TGGATCAATATCATTTCACATCATGGCCCAATCATGGTACTCCATCTTCCTCTGGTCCACTGTTGGAGTTTATGGACATTGTTCAACAGAATTATACACCTTTTGATGGACCAATGGTTGTTCATTGCAGGTAATGGAAGAATGCATTAAATGAATAGCTGCATGGTTTAGTAAACAAGCATGCATGATAAGCAAATTACCTCTAGATCTATGGATACATATATTATGAATATATTATTTTTTTCAGTTCTGGCACTGGTCGTACTGGTACATTCATTGCTATTATGGTTGAGATGGCTCGCATCAAGTCAGAGAAATTGGTTGATATCTTCAATAATGTGCAGTACATGAGGAAGTGCCGTCCTATGATGGTTATGAATGAAGTAAGTATACTCATTTAAAATTTAAAAATTTGCAGCCTGAGTAATCCTCTTGTTTTGTGAATTGATGCAATGGCTTTTCTATTAATTTTTTGCCCCCACTCTTAACATAGATTGAGTATATTTTCATTCATGATGCTCTTGTTGAGGCTTTGAAACTTGGAAAGATTGAGGGAGTTGCTTTTGCTAGGCCCCAGTCTCTCGAAGAGACAAGCAGTGAAGGAAACTCTGAAGGATTTTCTGATAAAAAGAGTCTTGTTGATGAAGAGACAGAGCTGTAGGAAGAATTGATGATGAAGTGTACTGACTGCACTATTATACGCCCTCATAATTATATATTTTATTGCTGATTTTTGTCTTGTTTTATTAGTTAGACTATATATCTGTAGGACTGTTTTTAATTTAAATTTCTGAACATTATATTTGCATGTAAAGTCATTTGGTGAGGCATTTTGCTAGGTTTTTTTGCGGAAAATAAAAATAACGTAATATTTATATATGTGATCAATTACTCTTCTGATATGCAAGCATATAAATTTTAGAGGAAATTCCATTGCATGGCATTTGCACATCATCTGCATGGGATCATCAAACTATAACTTCAAGTATTTTTTGTGAATAAAAATTGGCTCAATTCAATTTTCTTTTCATTTTGCAGTATACTTTTATGTACACAAGTATTGTTTACAAGATGTTCCTAGCTTGTTTTTTGAAGTATTTCTTTAAAAACATGTTTGCTTTGCATTGCAAAGCGGCATTTTGCTTGCCAGCTCGCATGTCATCATGGTCAGTCTTGTGTGGGAATTAGATATAAAAGACATGAACCTATATAATTAATAATTTCAAAATTTGCAATGCAAACATATTAATGTCTAACAAATTATACTGAGTTTTAAAAAGGTGCATTAATTTTTATAACTGTATAAGGTCTGAACACTAAATTTGGATTAGCTATTCATTACGTCATACATTCCCAGCCTCCTCTCACTTCCTGTCGTTCATCCATTTGCCTGTCACAGTCTCTTCGCTCTCATTCTGCTCCCGTCTACCCGCTCTCTCTTTCTCTTTGTATCTGTACACTGCAGGGAAGGGAAGGACAGGGCCATGAGGGCTCAGGCTAATTCGTGCAGTGGAGTCCAACTAGTGCTCTTCCCGCTTCTACTTTTAGCGGCTCTACAGTTCCACGGATGTAAGTCCTAGCCTAGATCTTAGAGCAAAAGAATGAATCCTAAAAATCATGCATTTATGCATGTAGACTAAATTAACGTGCATGTACAATGAAGACAGCCTGTATATATAGGTTACACTGTCTGCTTCAGGCTAAATAGTGTCAGGATTACCAAGTATTTTGATTCCCATACTCTTTCCAGGCTACATGCATGCATACATTAGATCTGCTGTCAGTACAGATAGGGAATTTTCTTTTTTTCTGGTTGTTAAGTCTGTCTTTATTAGCTAACTAGCATCATAATTGTGATTAATCGCTTTAATTAAGTTCCAATGTTTTGACTCATTTCCCTGTGATTTCCCCTATAACTCTATATTCTTTCTTCCACTCTTTTTCAGGCACATCACAAGGTTTACCAATCGTAACTCCAAGTGATACTACACAAGTCCTACAATTTGGAGATGAAATAGAGCTCAATTGCTCATTTCCATCAGCCGTTAACTATACATGGAGTGTTGAAGAAGATCCTGATTTTGAAGAAACCAGTCAAAATTTGACTATATCTTACGAAGATCCATCTGACGCCATGGATGGTGGTACATACTCCTGTACTGCAACTATCCAAGAGAACCGAAATGCCACCTCTGAGCCAATATTTATCATTTTTGTACCTATTTTTACTCTTCAGCCCTCACCTGTGTCTGCTGATATTGGGGATCCTAATGTTACATTAACCTGTAATGCCACTGGATTCCCTGCTCCTAATATAACATGGGTCAGACTACCATCGAATGACCTAAACGAATCAATGATACTAGATCTGTATAATTCCGATGAACTGTATACTATTGACGATGACAGTATGATCAGTTTTTCCACTGATAGTGACACCGATAGCTCATCAATATTGACCTTTGATTTGATTGAGAATGATGACTTTGGCTACTATGCCTGTATTGCAATGCAGTCCAATGATAGTCTAATGGGAGAAATGGAGACTCTTGTTGCATCTAATATCTCAACAGTCACTGGTGAGTATAGTATGCTAACAAGCAAATCTAGTTACACTATTTGATTGTAGTAATAAAGTATGGCCTGTTGTTGGTATAGTACATAACTGTTAATGCTGTAGTGGACAGCTAATGATCCATAGTAAGGAATGCCTCTTACTACAAGAGACAGAGACATATCATTAGAGGCTTATAGAGGGAGAGAGGCAAGGGAAAGAAAAGAGGGTATTATTGTTATGGATATACCCGTATCTGTATACGTATCAATTTGTTTTTGTTTTTCATGCCTTGTCCTAGGCATGTCACAGTACTTAGTATTGACTGTATGCAAGCTCTGGCATCCTAAATCAGTATGACTGCCAAAAGTATTGATATGATAAAGCTCTGTTAATGTCCTTATTGTACTTGTGTTTACATACATTTTTCTGTACATCCTATACACTATTCCCCTCTTTTAGCTTCAAATTCCTTGACTAATGTCTCTTCCAACTTTGTTTTAACCCTCCCCATGTGATGCTATTAAGTTATATATTGCCTCTCTCTCTCTCTCTCTCTCTCTCTCTCTCTCTCTCTCTCTCTCTCTCTCTCTCTCTCTCTCTCTCTCTCTCTCTCACTCTCGGTACTAGTGGCCCTGTTATTTAGCACTTATATGCACACACACATACAAGGATGCTGGACTGCATTCCATTAGCCTTGTTATAGCTGTCAGTTTATCTTGTTAGTGTATAGTATCTGGAGGAGTCAAGCTCTAAAAATACTTCACCATAACTGTAGCATATCTATATTTAGCATAGTAAATGTGAATTTTAAATTTAGCTACCCTCTTTTTAAACTTAGGCCTATTCTTTACATTGATATGTTAATGAGTAGAATTCTGTGAAATACTGAGTCATTCTACAAGTACTTCTCTCTCTCTATATCTCTCCTACACTTG